GCCAGTTGAGCATTGTTGTAGTTATTGCTTCTGCAATAACTAGGATTCGTTTCTTTGAGTGAATAAGGTAAGATAATATTGAATTATTAGTTTCCAAGAAAAACTAACGGCCTCTGAAAAAAAATAGAATTTTAGATACATAATATTATCTAAAAAGATTTTTTTGTAAATAATCCTTTTATTACATATATCTGTAACTCACCCAATTAATTGATCAAATAAAATTTTCAAAAATATTGAATACGGCTTAAATATGTCACAAATATAATAATTTAATAAATATTTCATAGTTAATATTAAATTCAATAATAAAATACTTTACTCACCCCCAAAGTACTCCTTTTCATAATAGCTGTAGTAACAGATATTTCTTTTACAGTGACTTTTCTTCTTGGTGTAACTTTTTCTAGAATCTTCGACGTATTCAATACACTAGTATTCGCTTCTTTGTACAAAGTTTCATTTATTTTTGCATATGTTCCATTTCTTATTGTATATTTTTCTGTTTCTGTTACATTTAAAATTCTACTCTTTTCATTTATTTTCGCGTCCGTTTCATTTCTTATTGTATATTTTTGTGAAACTGTTACATTTAAAATTCCACTCACTTCATTTATTTTATTCATTTCAATAGAAGCGTTCGTCATTTCCGTCGTATAATTTCTCATCATATTTGTAATATTATTAATTGGAACTAATTTGACTATCTCTATTTCCGGTTTTTTAGTATCTATTTTATTTGTATTATCTGTATCTATGTTATTTTTTATATTAAAAGCATTTATTACTGTTGGAATCTCATTTGATTTATTCGTTATACCAATATATTTATTTATTTTATATTTCATTGTAGCTTTCCTGTATATATAACTTGGTATTCTAGTTTTATTTTTTATTGTAATTTCTGTATTTTTGATTGTTTTTGTATATTGTTTTGTTTTTGGTTGTTTTTTATGTATTTCTTCGCGTTGTATCAATATTCTGTTGGTCAAAGCGTCTTTGAATTCCTCTAACGTTAGGTATGCTTTAGGTATTTTTGATTCTACTGGATTATTAATATATATATATGGATCAGCACCAGATTTTAAACTCTCTCTCACCATCAAATTGTGTTTCTTATAGCCATTCACTTCTCTCAATTTTTCAACGTGTATCTCAAATTGTTTGTTACCTCTGAATATCCTTCGCGTGAATAATTTGAATTTTTCTGGAAAATAATAATTTTATAGCTTTGGCATATAAAATAATATTATCAAACAATTCGTCTACTTATATAAGAAACATCCTATACAAAAAATATTTTTTCTCATCCCTACTAATATTATAAATGCGAAAGTAACTCCGTCTGTCTGTCTGTTACGCTATCACGCCTAAACCACTGAACTGATTTTAATGAAATTTGGTACAAAGATAGAGTTGACCTCGAGAAAGAACATAGAATAGTTTTTATCCCAGACTTTTGAAAGGTTCTTTTGGAAACGCGATAAAACCGAACTCAACACGGGCGAAGCTGCGGACGGAAAGACAGTATTAAATAAAATATTTACCATTAGCCATAGCTTCTTCATACTTTGTATATAATTCCTTTATTATATTTTCTGGTATTCTCCCACCATATGTCTGGTATACAGCCGTAAGGAATATTAAATAACAAAGTAACATCGCAACGGTCGATGTGAAAATAGCTCAAAACGAGTGAATGCATCAACGCATCATTGACGAATTTAATCAAGATTAAAATTCAAAACATAGATAAAATAGATTTTATTCATAGGAATAAAATATTAATTATTGCAAAAAATACTTTTTTCTTTAATAATATTCAAAATTATATGAAAATATGTCTTAATATGTGAATTAAACGGTTAAGAATTAGTTGTAATAACATCACATCAAAACTGCTGTATAGATTTCGATGAAATTTAGAAGTTTTATCAATAGATACCTACTTGGAAATTAATATCAAAAAGTGTTCTAATATCTTCATTTAAAACGTAAGAAACGATGATTTTTTGTGTTTTTTTTTAACAAAGACACAGTCGGAATAATCAAACAGTTTATAGCTCTTAAAAAATTGTTTAAATAAAAACGAATTTTATGTCTGAGATATTAGAACAAAAATATTATACATAAATTGTTATAGACAGCAAAAATTGCAAAAAAAATACAAAAAAAAAATCAAATGATAAAGCTATATGCATTCGGATCTACATATATATTTATATGACATTATTCTTAACATTACTCTATATCAATTAAATTAATATGACTTAAAATATTATATTTATTTTATTTGACAGATATTAACTAAGTTTTCATATGTTATATGAAAATAAAATGAAGAAAATATCCTTTTAAAACTGCGGGTATTTTTCTTCGTCGAATAAACGATCTAAAAATCTTAAAAGGCAATTTGAAATCTATATAGATCTTAAATAAAACATGTGATTGTTACTATATATTTCATTTGTATATGATACTTTGAATTTTTTTATGCTAAGGCTTCATTCGCACTGAAATTATTGAATACTTTGCCAAAGTCAATGTTTTTATTTGTTTCACGAATTATCTTGAGTACCTACTCACTTGAATTTGAAGATTTCCTTTGTAATTTGTTGTTTTTTTTTTTATTTGACACTGACAATGACAGCCCACTTTCAAAGAGGTTTCTAACATGAAGGTTTGATTAAAAGTATTTAAATACTCTTTGGAAAACATAGTATTGTTAATTATAAACAAGTTAGTTACACTATTCATAACTCAAGAACGGCTGAACGGATTTGGATGAAAATTTGTAGGGAGGTAGGTTGGAATCACGAGACGGACATAGGATACTTTTGAAAACATTCAACCAAAAAAAAATCCAAAATATGTTTGTTTCCTGCCTTTAAATTGAAATGTAAGATTGGTAAGCTATACATTTCAAATTATGAAACTAACGCAGACAGAATCGCGGGTAAAATCTAATATTTTATTTAATATTAATTATTCTCTTTTTAGCAAAACCGAGTTTAGCAAAACCGAGGTTGAATTTTTGTTATACTTATAAATTTTGGTCATTTGATGTAAATTTATAAACAGATCCGAAATATATGTAATTTAAAACAATCAAATATTTCCTTTACTTACGTTTTTTTCATGTAACTATATTAAATTTGTATGGGTCATAAAAATAAAAGAAAAATAGCGTAAAATAAAACCATAATGATTTGAAATAGCTAACCTAACATACGTATTAAAATCTAAGAGTACATAGAGTATTTAATAGTTTTTTGCCGACTTACTAAAAAACCATAACACATATATTGAGAACGTGTAGGATTGATCAAATTATTTAATTTTAATTCCAGTATTACCTTATAGATAATCACGTTTGATGCTAAACGAAAATGTGATTTTGTCAAAAATTATTTGCCGTGGAAATTATTCATATTTACCTTTACCTTAAAAACTAATTTAAATTCCACTAATGACTCTTCCTTATAGATAATGTAATGTTTATTTTAATACATTTGGATTTAATACCTAGGATAGTATTTTAATCAAATATTAATTTTAATTAAAACAATTTCTTCTTTAGAACTAGTTTTTCTTTGTTTTAATTTGTCGATAGATTAATTCCATACTCTCGAAAACCCGAATTAATATAATATATGTAGGTATACTACAATAAATAAAATATATTTACTTGAAAAAGAACATAGGTTTACGCAAAAAACTCCTATATACCGACGCGACGGTGTAAACTTGCTCTACTTACTGTATACCTAATGTTTTAAACATGTTAAATAATCATTAATTATGAATACTATCTTCAAAAATAACCATCATTTATGACAAATAAATGAATGAAATATGAAATATTATTTTAAATTTGATAGAAATGAAGATAAAGTTTTTATTTAATTTTGATTATAACATATAGGTATATGAAAATCATTTTAAAAGTTCGATGTAAAATTTCAATATTCCATAATTGATTGTAAATTGAAAATAAAACAACGCATTTTTTTTATATAGTTTTTTTTGTATTGAAGAGAGCACAAGTGAGCACAAGGCTCTATCCTGCATACAAATGACTTTTTCTTTTCCCACAGAATCTTTAAGAAGTTTTTTTACATTGATCACTTAATTTTAATAATATATAGTATTATATCAACAATATCTTTTATTTTCCTATCAACAAAAAAAGAGTTAATTGGGAAAATGAAAATTAATTAAATATACATATATGTAAAAAATAGGAAAATATAGATAAATATATTCTCAAAACTAATTTTAACAATGATATCTAAGATTTTCTGATACGAGAAAAGTATGAGATATTTTCATCTGTCTTCATGATCACGGTTGCTGTAAAGTAACCTAAACGTCGGGAGTATGTAGTTGAAATAATAAAAAACGTAGTTTCTACAAAAATTTGTTTAACATACTTTAAATCTAAATATTTAGGTTTGCTTAAATTATTTTTAGAGACAAATCATTATCGATCAATACATTATATCTTTTTTTTTAATACCTCATATGAAAACAAGTTCAGATTTTTCCAATTATCACAATAAAACAATGTATTCTTAGCTTTGGTTTATTTATTCTATGATAAAGCATGACATAAACTACTAATATATACCCGCGACTTTATCCGCTTCGTTTCATATAAGAGCTTTCGTATGTGCAACAAAACACGCATTTAATAATAGACCTTTTAAAAATTGTTATATCTTACTAGTCAAAGATTATATTGAATAAAGATACCTTAGTTTTTTATTTAGATGAGAATTAAGGACTTAAGATATAGTTACTTTGAAAATTAAAAGATTTATCGAAATATATCATGTAGTTTTGATGTGACGATTCAAAATGCAGACATTTGTATAATATTAAAGTCTTATTTTACGTAAATAGAATATTTATTATAATATATGATCCGTCCCCAAAATAAATATAGTTATCACATGATCCCAAACACGAAATAGTTGTATTAAAATCAAAGAAACTTAATGAATTTTTCTCAGGTCAGCACGATAGAGGAATACGGAGTGTATACGATGCTGCCCGCGCAGCAACTAGCTCCTATCAGCCCTTGGCCACCTGATGGAGTATTGGATCGTATGGACGACCTGGTGCACAAAGGTAAAGGTAATGGTGACCACCATTTTATATACTATCAGATACACTAATTGGCAGAAGAGATTAAGCAAAAAAAAATCAATATACAGTGTAAACTCTATATAACGACACTGAAGGGACTGTGCATTTTATGGCGTTAGAGAGTTGTGTTAAATAGAGAGAAGAAAAATCAGAATTAGAAAAAGACGAAGTCTATTTCAGACTAGTGTTAGTACTTATGTACATAAAAAAGAATGTTATTCGAACGCTATTGCGTATAGTCTGTTATTTTTGTTTGACGTCTTTTGCTGCACCAGTAATGTTGTTGGATTTTTTTAATTATTTTATTCATATCTTGCGATATTGAGGCATCTTGGTGAAGAACGAATTTCTTAGAAAATTGTGTATGCATGATTCCGACAGTCGAGTTTATTGCGGGCTAGGATAGCAAAGCGACAAAAGAACGTACACAGCTGCGCAGTTTTTACTAATTTTAGCAACTTAAAAGGTTATTTTTATTACTTAATTGTTGTCGTTATTGAGAGTGAATGTGCCGCTATGTGGAGTGTATTATTGTATGGTAGACCAGCTAAACCAACCAAAGTCAAATGATTTCGACGCTTTAGAGAGTTTGTCGTTAAATCCAGTGACGTTACATGGAGTTTACACTGTATATATTCTCGTTGCAAACCTGCACCACAAGTATTTGTAACGTGATTAAGAAGTAAGAAGGCTTGTGGTGAACAGGTCACAGCGGTGTTAACCAGCTCGGCGGCGTGTTTGTAGGAGGCAGACCTCTCCCGGACTCGACGAGACAGAAGATAGTGGAACTGGCGCACTCCGGAGCCCGGCCCTGCGACATCAGTAGGATACTGCAAGTGAGCAACGGATGTGTGTCCAAGATACTGGGGAGGTGAGACAACACAATATACGATATGACAAAAATATATAAACATTATTATGACTATTAATACGAAAAAATCACAAAAATTACCACATAGATAGGCTTTTACCTAAAATTTTGCATCAACATAAGCCACAATTAATATGTAAACTTAGTATATCCAATAATTTGGAATAATCCACGCTGTACCAAAAAATGTAACCATATATAAGCAATTAAACAAAAATTATCACTAATATAGGCTTATTATCCAAAATTTTGCATTAACATGCGCCACAATTAAAAAATGAACTTAATCTTCTATCCAATATATTTTTTGGTTAATAGTAAATGATACAGAAGTTTCAACCGCAATTGTCACGGTCGATACATTAGAACCAAGTATCCCAAATATGTTGTTTAAAACCATCTCGAACTAGCCGTAACCACAGAATGTGACCACCTAGAACTAGTATAACCCGCCCAAATATAATGGATTAAGATTGTATACATTTTATTATAAAACTTGTGTATATTTTATTGTGTCGGTTTATACAAGGTGCTTACGAAGGTCAGTAATATGACACCAAGTATTTTACACGCTTGACGCTACGTACATACGTCAATAGATTTTTCTTTTGTAACTTCTGTGGTTAAATTGTCGTTCAATGTTACTTAAGTTGCATACATTCTTAGACATATATAAATATAGTCTTTGTTGAAGTTTAAAATCTAAATATTTTTAATAATAAACTGATTTAACGATAGTTTTTTATAGAAGCTAAAAAACATTTCCTTTAATAGAATAAAACGTTGGCTAGTGTCTCATTAGTTAGTATTTTGAAGTTTAACCCTAAAGTTAGATAAAATTACTAATTAAGTAAAGGTATAAAAGCCGTCAGCTGGGCAATAAGGTGAAAAAAAGCTACGGCCGGGTATTGAACGTGATACCTTTCGCAATACGATACCAGTCCCATCACTAAACCTATTGACTCAGGGTTCAGTATCACAAATAAATTAAATTAAATATAATAATAAAATTTTATATGATAAACAAAATAAATTAATTATATTTTTATATTGGTATCAAGATTACATTTCGTGTTAAACTTCATCGCTATAAGAATTTAGTTACTAGTTTTTTTGCTTTTCTACCTTATTTAAAGCGACCTAGAAATTTGATATACCGACAGATTATTTCAACAAAATCAATAATAACTATGAATTTTTGGCACAGAAGGCCACCCAGTATATTGTATGAATATATGTATGTAACTTCAATGTCACTACATACGGCTGATTCTACTTTAAATATTTCAGAATTAATGAGATCTAAAACTTTTTAAGTACAGAATTTATAAGATCGAAGACTTTCACGAGTATTCATTTAAATGAAACTAATATTTGTGATAACAACGCGTTATTTTATTATTATAAACTACATACTCCCGACGTTTCGGTTACTTTTGCAACCATGATCACGGGCAGACGATTAAGAATTGATGCAAAGCAACCGAAACGTCGGGATTATGTAGTTTACAATAAATACGCGTAGTTATCGCAAAATATTAGTTTCAATTACATTTCCGAATTAATCTTCTTCTACCTGGCAATTTCCAAGCTTTAGTCAGGGTCTGCCTTACATGTTGTGAATAGTTTTTTACGACCGGCCGCCTGCCTGACATCAACCGTTTTTGAGAATAAACATTTCAGAATTAATATACAGCTTAAATAAACTCTAATTATATTGATTTCTAGAGCTAAACATATCGATATTTTATTATATTTAGGTATTACGAGACCGGTTCAATCAGACCTCGTGCGATCGGCGGGTCAAAGCCTCGTGTGGCTACAGCCGAAGTTGTCAGTAAGATAGCCCAATACAAGAGAGAATGTCCATCCATCTTCGCCTGGGAGATAAGGGACCGCCTGCTCAGCGAGGGTGTCTGCACATCAGATAATATACCAAGCGTGAGTACATTGAATATTAATAATATATATTTTGATTTTATGACAAACTAGCTTTCCGCCGTCGAGTTCGGTTATATCGCGTTTCCAAGAGAATCTTTCGAAATTCTGGGATAAAAACTATCCTATGTTCTTTTTTCATGGTTAACTCTATCTCTATACCAAATTTCATTAAAATCAGTTCAGTGGTTTAGGCGTGAAAGCGTAACAAACAGACATACAGACAGAGTTACTTTCGCATTTATAATATTAGTAGGGATAAGGCTCGTTACACACGGTAGTGTAAGTTTTTATTTATTATATTAGGCTCATTACACGCGGATCGTTTTTAGTATTTCGTATCGTATTCTGTATTAATATACATATATAATGAAAGAAAATTTAAAGCTACATATAGTGTGAGAATGAGAACTCATATTAAAGGTATAAATACTGATTCTGCATACATACATTTTATAGTAATAAAAATCAGTGAAAAAGTAATGTTTTCTTGAATCTTACTTGCATTTAAGTATACAGGGTGACTGGTGAATTACTATCAATATTTAAGGAGAATACTCGGTACATGATTCTCATTCGAATTATGTTAAAAAATAGGTACTTAATTTTTGACAAAATTTCCGCATAAATAAATAAAATGTTGACACGTTCCAACTGTTCCAAGTGTGGACGCGTGCGGCGGCGTGCTGATACAACACCACGCCCCGCTCGCGTATGTGTGAGTGTGTGTGTATACCTAATCTGTAGGGTGTTCACACGATGCGTAATTAATTACACAACTTTTGGTTAACTTTACTTAGAAGTTTATTAATATTTATGTTATATTAATTTTTATTTTGTCATATATGATCGTCAAATATCACGTCCTCAAATATCGATAGTAATTCACCAGTCACCCTGTATATTTTACTTGATTAATACGTTTTCTATTTTATGTTATGTTAATTCTCATTCTGCTTTTAAATTTTACTATCGAATATTCAATATGATCAATTATAAATATATTATGTTACTATTTAACATAATATGCATAACTTTATTATATCGGATAAATATCATTGGAATTTTTAAATTGTGCTGCTCTATATTTTGTCACGACTTTAATTATTTATGAAAGAATATATAACTCATATATAATTAAGTCAAAATATTGACTTTATTTTGAAGATATGAAAAAATTATAAATAAACAAAAATAATTAAAATTGAAAACTGTATGTATGTAATAGAAGTGGCTTGGATAAAATAATTCTGAATGATAACAAAATTAAGACATATAAATGATTTATTTATATGAACGTGAAATCATTCACATAAAAAAATTAATAAAAGAAATAATAAATATATATTTGTATATTATGTACTTAAACACGAAAATTGATGCAAAAAATGATCAAAATATGAAGCGTAGTCTTATAAAAGAATGAATATAAACACAATGGTGTTCGAACATAGCTATAGTTCGATTATATATAACCCATAACGCCTTATCTTCAGACACTATAGCCTCCACCACCCTCTCGCAAAACAATATGACGTTATAACATTTTTTTCTTCATTTTTTTCCCTTTTTTGAATATCCTCCCTTCAGAGACAACGCCGTACGTTATAAAGGATGCTTCCAATCGAAATATCAATATATATTTCTTTACATACAATATTAAACATTATAAATTATAACAAAGCAAAAATATATCAAAATATTTTGTCTGAATGACGATTAAAAAAAAACATTAAATCCTTTTTTTTATTACTTCGGCTTTATGACTCAACTCCTTTGCCAAATTGCGTGTTGGCGATTAAAAAAAATATATATAACTGACAACGTCTTTAATGACAGCGGAATTATTAAACATCTTTACGACAGAAACTGGTGCTTAACATAAATTAATAATGAAATTCGCGCCATCACCCTGTTACTGACGGTTAAAAAGAAGCTGATTTAAATACCTTCGAGATCGGGGAAAAACATTACCGAAGACAGTGAAAGGGATGGATATATACACAACGGGCGGGTGCGAAAGAGTTGGACGGCGTTCTCTTTTTTCGGGGGGAGATTTTAACACGGCATGAATAAAGAAAATATGAAGGCTTTTGTTGCCGTAAAAATTCCAGTACAGGGGATAAAGTCTTTAAGTTATCAGAGGGTGGGAGGCATTCTATGTTTATATACTGTCTGTACGGTCAGCAGAATAATTGATTTTATTATAGTATAGACAAATACGTAAACATTTGACTTGAAATATTTTGAATAGAAACAAAATTTAGTATATTCACTTACGTATCTTTCGAATACATATGCCGATTTAGGTGTGAAAGTACGAAATAATGAATTAATAATTAGAAAAAAATAATTCGCAAAGAATGTTTGGGGTGAATGAACTCAGATTTTGTGTTTTTTTTTCTGCTGACGTTACAATATATAATATGAACTCACATGTCTATTCAGGTAACTTAACATCGTTTTAATATTGTATACATTAATAAATCAAATACTTATGAATATTTATATTATTTGAAGAGAAAATGTATCTATTAATATTTTTATTTTGTTGAAATTCAACAACTAAGTATAAGTAATCCTTTCTAATGATATGATAAAACCATTGGAATTTCAACTCAAATGCAATACAATATGGTTCAAATTCAATCGTAGGTAAATGATGTCAAAGAAAAATGTATTTAATATATATCATAACATAGTTTACATTTAATTGACAGTCCAAGAGCTAGGGTTGTCACTTGGCGGCTAGTTCCCGTAGCAAATCACTTCCGGTCCACTAAATACGGGGTAAATTAATGCGTTTAGCACGCTCCGACCCTATGGGGATGACAACTTTATTTTATTATATGGCGATATTTTCTTGTCACTTTGGACAGTTTTTTTTTTTTTGGCAACGATCGTTACCGTTCAGCCGACGAGTTTGTGAAATAAAATCACATTGATTGATTTTTTTTTATTTTAATTAGTTTAACTTCAAATATTTTTACTATTATTTTTTTATATGAGGAAGGATTTTTTTATTATTTTTTATTTTTATATTTTTTATATTTATACTAATTTCGTTATACGCATTAAATTTCAGTCTCATATTAAAAATAATATTTTATATATACTATTATTAACACACGGTCCAATAAACAGTATGTAGAGATTTAAAATATCATTAAATATTATCTGAGATGACGATCTCATGGACGGAACAAATTGTAACAACGATACAGATTATCATGAACACGTGTCCGACACGCGACCGGCCCGGGTACTACATACACTCATTTACCCCACTATAATACACACATACAAATCTAGACTCTATTCATTAAGAGATAAAGCTCAAAATACACATGGCATTATAATATATTTTCCATATAATCTCCAGACGAAATTAGATTCTATTATATAATAGATAAGGTTCATTTTTGTCTGGTTATTTTATATGAACGTTAGTTAAAAGCTACGCTAGCTAGGGTAATGTATCCGATTCGCCGATGCTTACTGGAGTTGAGTGTGTAATGAGATAAACAAATAAATATATCCATGCTTTGCTTGTGACACGCGCATACGACGCCGCGGGCTAAGATTGTGTCCATACTATTGCGGATTCACATTTGACAGCTGGAAAGGAAACTAACAGAAAATAAAAAAAACATTTTTAAGGAGGTATGATTTAATTTATGTATAAAAACTAAATCAAAACTTTCATTAGAAGTAATTCATATAATATGTATATCAATGAAAGAAGATGCATTTAAAATCATCACTAGTCTAATTACCTACTATTAAAAGAATGTTAAAAGAAATTACGTAGACATATAAACTCACTTTGTCTCATATATATTGAATAAAGATATTTTTTATTTTACTACAAGTTTGCAGTTAGAACTAAACAGTCCGTTACAAAGTTTATCACTCATAAATCTTTGTTTAGTATAGGTGTAGTGTGATGATGCAGACTTGTAGTCAGAATACTAAATGGTAAAACAGCACTTGCAGCGATGAAAACTTTTATATAAAGCGGATAGTGTAAGAATTCAGCTTATACACTTCCAGCGAAAAGCGCTTGATTGTCGCTTAAAAACATTATTATGTAATTGTAATGATAATATAGTTTTTGTTCTAAATCTTCATCTACGTGGAATTGGAAATTCGGCTAATAGAGAAATTCATTAATTCTGTTAAAACAAAAGATACGGTGAGCAATTGCAAGCAACATGTTTAAACTGCTTCTCGTGATATACACAATACAACTGTTATAACTTGATTCTTTGAATACTATGTACGCAACTGAATTAATAAATATTAATAAATCTCATCTCAATGTCTTATCTATAATATTAAGTAAAGTTTAATCAAAATTAGTAAAGTGGTTTTAATTTGAAAGAGCAACAAACAATCATACATCCTAAAAAGTTTTCGTATTTATAAAGTCAGTATAAAATAATACTTTTATCAAAATGAACTAACGGTACTAAAAAATTACTGTGTCATATCAAAATAACCTTAAAAATTTGCTTAATACATAAAATTCTCGTGTCACAATGTTCGTTCCCGTACTCCTCCGAAACGGCTAGACCGAATCTCATGAAATTTTGCGAGCATATTAAGTATATCTAAGAATCTGCCAAAATCTATTTTTCATAACCCTAAGTCATAAGGGTTGTTCGCCCCAAATTTTTTTTCTTTTTGGACCAATTTTTTTATATAAAGTGTCATTAAAAATACATACAAATACAATACAAATTTTATATTGCAAAACAACGTTTACTCGATTAGCTATTTTTTATATTACATCCAAAACAAGCATTCAAAACCCAAGTTTCATATGTAGGTAGTCAGAGATTCTTAATAACCCTACCATACCTACTTAAAGGATAATACTGTACAGATCCGCCTTAATCCGGTATAAAGTGATTTAATACGATATCAACAACTCAATAAACTTGATGATGTTATCGACACGTGTCTCTCAACAATAACCTATTATTAAACTCAAACCGTAT